TTTTGATTTATTGTAGAGATGAGGTCTCGCCAAGTTGCCCAGGAGGGTCTCGAATCCGCGGGCTCAGGCGATCCACTCACCTCAGCCTCCCAAAGGCGCGGGATTACAGGCTGAGCCACCAAGCCTGGCTTGGTTCATATTTGACGTCAGGATTGTTACTTGTAATTTAGGGATTACAAACTACAGATAATAGCAATCCTTTCAGAAATTTGTTGAATTTTGTGAGATAAGACTGCCCCATAAGGCGTGGAACTTAAAGAGAGATTGGAGATAGGGTTATTACTGAGAAAGTTTCTCCTTTCCTGTTGAGAAAAATTGTGACTCCATAAGGGCAAAGTGTCATGAATGGCAAAGATATAAGAAATGATGAAATATAGCAATGGTGTAGAAGTCAAAAGTGAAAACCTAGAGTGTTTTAGATATCACTTCAGATTTTAGACTGGGGATAATTGTGAGTCCAAGAAGGGAGAAAGTTTTGAATCTACTTTGCTTGTCATGGCAAAGTACAGGTGGCAGTTTTGCTTTCTGTTTGGAAAAAAAAATAGCATTAGTCAGATTATAATGAATTGACTTGAGAAATCAGTTAGCAGAAATAACTTAGTTTAAATGCAAGTTGTCTACATGTGGATTAGTTTTGACAGCTCATGGTTGACGGAGAGTTGATGTCTTTAAGTTTCCTTTATCCTATAAGTCTGCCTTTCTGATTATTTTATTGGAAAGCATTCACACTTTTCCACTTTTGGGGCTTTTATTCTAATTGCTTTAAGTAATCTAGAATTTTAGGGATAGATCTAAATTTAGGGTTCAGACAAACAAGAATTATATATTCATATGTTCTAAATTTTAAAATACTAAAATAATGTTAATCCCCCCCCCCCATTTATCCAATTTAAAGGATTCTTGTGAGGCGCTCTTGAGCATTTACCCTGTGGCAAATATTGTGCTGTGAGGCAGAGATTCATTGACAAAGAGGCAGAGTCCCTGCCCATAGGAAGCTTTCAGGCTCGTCAGTAGTTTGAAAGTATAGGCTAGTATCCCTTATCTGAAATGCTTGGAACCAGAAGTGTTTCAGATTTGGGATTTTTGTAATATTTGTCTTATGCTTACTAGGTGAGCATCCCATATCAGAAAATTCAAAATCTAAAATGCTCCAATGAGCGTTTCCTTGAGCATCGTGTTAATGCTCAAAAAGTTGTGGGGGATTTGTAGTGTTTTGGATTTCAGATCTTTGGATTTAGGATGCTCAGCTTGAAGTGTATATAAGAAACACTAAGGAGAATGTATTAAAAATGCAAGTGTTAAAAAAAAAATAGCAAGTTCCTGGGGGCTATCCCTCAAAGTTGTTGCATTTTCTCACGTGATGTAAGGTCCTGTTACCTGCATTTTATTTTATTAATTTATTTATCTTTGAGTTGGGATCTTACTCAGTTATCCTTTTTGGAGTACAGTCATGTCTCATTGCCACTTTGATCTCCTGGGCTCAGGTGATCCTTCTGCCACAGCCTTCCCAGTAGTTGGGATTATAATGAGGTCTCGTTATGTTGCCTAGGGTGGTTTTGAACTCTTGGCTTCTCACCTGATTTTTAAAAATTTATTTAGTCAGAGTCTCATTATGTCGCCCAGGCTAGAGTTTAAGTGGCATGCTCATGGCCACCACAGCCTCGACCTGCTGGTCTCAGGCGATCCTTCTGCCTCAACCTTTCAAGTAGCTGGAACTACAGGTGCACGCTACCATGCCTGGCTGATTTTTTTGATTTATTGTAAAGATGAGGTCTTGCCAAGTTGCCCAGGCTGGTCTCAAATCCCTGAACTCAGGCAGTCCTCTCACCTCTGCTTCCCAAAGTGCTGGGATTGCAGGAGTGAACCACTGCACTCAGACCTTGCTTGCATTTTAAACTAGCATCCACACATGTTGAGAAAACACTGCTCTATAGTTAGTGGTGAAAATTTGTTGTAAATCATAAATGCCTGCAGTTTGAGAGGTCTCCAAGACTATCCTCAAGTTCAGTGATTTGCTAGAAGAACTCAGAGCTAAGAAATGCTGTTACATTCAGGTTTACAGTTCA